TCTAGCTGTCCACCTTCCTTGGATGGTTGGCTGTACACCTTCCTTGGATGGCTGGCCATCCACCTTGGATAGTTGACTATGGTGGCAACCCATGTGAGAGAGCTGTGGCCTCTCATAGACTGCCATGTGTCCTCTTAGGTGGAAGAGAGAGAGACAAAGAAAGAAAGAGTGGGCCGCCCTATCTATCTAGGGGTGGCTGCATTAAATAGGGGCGCCTCACCTTATTTAATTGACACATAACTTCCTTTTATGGGCTACCCAATAGGCCCATTGCCCCATTGGCCCCTTCTTTAGTTTCTTGAAAAATAAGATAAATTAAGTAGGCCATGATAAATGAAATAAAGATACTTAGGAAATAGGAAAGTCAACTCTCACTTGAGAAACTAGTCTACTCATGTTGTGAATGCACAAAAATATTCTTCAAATTACCTTAACTATAATGTCCATGCTAAATCCAAAATCTATAGAACTAGATTCAATAACATGTTAAGTATAGTTGATTAAATATATTAAGTATGATTAGGATGTTATTAATTCTAATTTGCCTTTCGTCATTGGCAGCATCCCTACTCCCTCCGAGATTATGACAAGCCCATGGCCATTATGAATTAGAGGCTCATCTTGGTTGTAGAGTTCAGCCAGAACCGCTGGGCACGAAACCCCCTCCTGCCTGCCCTGGGCCCACTCTTGAAGTCGATGTCGCCAACGCTCACTGTTATTGCAGATGATTGGATGAGGGAATTGGGCTATTGTCTACTTGGAGGCGCTGGAGAAGGTGAATGTTCACGATCACATTTCTGGAGTACAGGGATACAATCCACAAGTTTGTGACTCCGAAGGTGATGCTGAGGACACTGCAGGCAAAGGCCTGTGCATCAGGTCCGGGAGACCGGACGTAGCGATCGCGGCGCCTCTCGGTGCCGTGTTAGCGGCGGCTCCTGACTCCCGGCGCGCGGCACAATACTGGGAGAGAGTCGCGGCGCCCCTCGGACGCCGCCGACACGGTTTAGAACGCCGCGCTCACGGTGCCTCACGGTGCCACGCTGTAGCGGTTTCTGATGTTCCGCTCGTGGCGCCTCCTCGGGCACCGCGTTAACGGTTTCCGCACCTACGCTGGGTGGTTTTCGGATGCCGCGTCAGCGACGTCCCCACACTTCCTGGGGATCGTAATAAATAATAAAAAAGGAGAAGGGAGGCCCATATTAAGGACAGCCCATAACGGGCAGGTCATGCGACCGGCCCACTCGAAAACTATAAAATAATGTTATAATCTGGAATACAAAATTTTGAACGATTATTTTTTTAATTACATAAGGTGGTTTTATATCTAATTAAGGGTTGTATTTGACTTTATACTTAGATAAATGAGATTAACATTATTCACCTATGTGGGATTGTTATGCTTGTATCTAAATGGGTGAAATGGTTATGTTTGCATATTAAATATGCAGTGTTCAAGTACCGAATGGTACAATATTTCATAGACTTTTATGTAGGTGTAATTAGTTTCATGTTCATTCAATAATACTATATGACTTCACCTACCTACAAAGAGTTATAATGATACGTCTGTTAGATTTAAAAGTTGACATAAGTGAGATATATTTTCATTCAAGAGAAGGAAATGTCATTAGAGTGCTAATATTAAATGGAGAAAATTTCTTAGAATGTCAAGAAGTAGCATTGTTTAATTTGGGCATGATGTAAGTAGATCTATGCTTTTGAGCATTGTTTAATATTAAATAGAAGTATTGTTTAATGGAACTATTATTGTTTAAATGGTACATTCACTCAAGAAAACAATGCAGATGTAAAGGTCTTTTATGAAAAATGGGAAAGGTTCAACATGTTGACTCTATCATTCTTGTTACCACATGTGTGTAGAGATATTAGAGGTCTTGTGACTTTTGATACTTTGGCAACCATTTACTCGAATATGATAGAACAAGAATTTGTTAGATGTAATAAAGTTAAACTATGTGCCTTGATACAAAGGTTTGCCTCCATATGCTACATAGGAAAGAGAAATATATGAGAGTATATAGTGGACATGCTTGACATTGTGGGGAAATTAAATGACATGAAGATCACCATTTGTGGAACATTTTTGGTTCATTTCATCTTGTGAACATTATTGACTAAATACGATCTCTTTAATGTCTCCTACAACACACAAGGATAAATGGTCAAACAATGATATTATGACCAAGTGTGTTAAGGAGTAAGAGAGGCAAGCTACTAGTTCTTTGGGTTAGAAATTATGTGAATTTAGCCACTCAAAGTGTGAAGACTTGGGCATCCAAATGTTAGAAGGCTAAGCAAAATAGAAACATAAACTAGGTGTGGTCCAAAACTCACTCATAAGGTCAAGTATTTCTTCTAAAAAAGCATTGTCATTTGAAGAAGGTTTGCACAAAACATAGAGAATAGTTGATCAAGCTTAATTCAAATAATTTTGTTTCTACCATGACTCATGAATCAAGTTTAAATTCTATTCCTAAGATGAGTTGGTGAACTGATTTAGGTGTCAAAATGCACATATCTACAACTTTGTGGGGGTTTATGATAAGGCGGTGATGACTTATTAATTACATGATAAAATAATTAATATTTTATAGATTATTTAATTTACATAAATATTTTCAAATTACTTTAATCTAGAAAATGATATTAACTTATTTATATGATTATATTATTAATTTCTAAAAATTATGTGATGAAATTGACCAGGAAATATTTTGATAGGTTCTACTAATATTTAATATTATTAGTAAAATGCTTCTATGCTAATTTCATTTCTTTGTGAATTTTTTATATTATTATGATAAATAATAATATAATAAAAAAATAAAATACGAGACTGATTTCTTTTTTCTAGGTTTTCTACATCAACAAAGATATGTAACGAATACATCAAGCAACATAACAAATGATTTGGGAAAATTGATGGAATTAACATACAAGAAGATGGAAAAATGATGGGGAAGGAAAAATGGGGCATCTTCAATCAATCTATTACTTCTCATATCTAGTTTTCATCTCCTCTGATGGCAACAATGTTAGATTCACTCCAATCATCCATCCAATACAAATGATGGATATCGTCTCAATTTCTCCTTGATTTAGCTGCTAAAGAAGCTGAACTTTATCCATGAACTCATCCCATTTTTTGCTTGATACAAATGACAAAAAATTTCTTCTAATAATCCTTCTTTGAATGCCATGACATTTAAGTGTCGAATCACTGTTTGTCAATTGGTTCCAGCAAGTGACAATTCTTGGGATCATCACTCATTGATAAGAGATTGTGTAGGAATCTATTTAGTACACTACACTTACACAAATCAATTGAATAGAAATTTGATTATTGACCATTCTATCCATTCCTTAGTAAAATTTGAATCTTTCCATGAATTTCTTTTTTATTTATAAAATATTCTATTCAGTTCTATATTATATTATGAACAATTTCTCTTTTGACATAAAAGTTTATTTTAAAGTATTTTGGCTTTGATGTTGAGAAATACAAGTTGACATATTTTTGGTGACTTGAATTCAGAGGTGTTCTTTGTGGGCTGATGTTGGTTGATGTCATAATCAATAATTTCTTATTTTAAAATTATTTTTTTACTTTTTTATAATTAAAAATTATAAACAATTAATCTGTCAATTAGAAATTATAAATATAATTAAATATTTTTTATCTTCCTTGTGTTTGACTTGGAAACCTTATAAAGTTAACATATTTTAAATTAGTTTATTTTTCTAGCATTTATAAATTATAAATTTGGTAAAATTTTATATGCCAACATTTGTTTTCTATCATTTTTTACAATGACAAAAAAAATTCAGTTAGGCATATGATAGCTCAAGCAATAATTATGTTAAAGGGGTGAGAAGATTATTATTTAAAGCCCAAGGAATATAGAAATAAGATAAGTACATAGTTAATACTCTGCTCATGTATTTACAAATGATGGTTTATGAATTATATCATTTCCCTATTTTCTATTAGGATGGGAGCATCAAGATTAATGAGAAGAGACATAAATGATTAATAATTGTTGGAGGGAAAAGGATTCATCAATAATCATGATGCATAATTATGAGCATATATTTATTCCTAATTTCATCATGGACAATTGAAGAATTAGTGAACATAAAAAGGTAAGATAGTAAAATTAACTTGTTATTTTGCAGATTGAGAGGAGCATAAGGGGTATGCCTACAATAGGGCATATGATCCTAAAAGAGGACCGGCTGCTAGCTTACCCTCTTTTTCCATGATCACCTCTCCCTCTTCCCCTGTTGGACACGATTCTCTCCTCTTGTGACATCAGCCTCCTCTCCCATTCTCCCTTAGTGCCACCTGCACACCATAGGTGGGCCAACTCTTCCCTACTTTCCCTCCTAGCAGTGACAATGTTAGACACAATCATGGATCTTCTCCCTTGGCATAGAAAGAAGAGGATCAACCATTTGAGCCTCCTACACATGGCTGCCATATGCTCCCCATATCTGTCAAAACAAGAGGGAGAAGATATGAGTTTGTTTCTATTTTCATTCCATTTCCTACATTGTAAGTGAACTTTGATTTTAGTTTGATGTAATTTTCATTTTCATGAGCTCTATGCTTCTTTCTAGTTCAATGAGTTGATTTTATCAATTCATTGAAGGATTAGACTTAATCTGTGATTTTTGTGATCATGAAGATCATAGGGAGATAGAAAAAAGGATTAATTGATTGAATAAGGAGATAGTGAGCATCACCATCAGAATTAGTGAAATGCTAGTGTGGACATTGTGATTTCAAATCCTCCTTAAGTTTGACCTAGTTTTCCACTAATTTTCTAAGAAAACTAACCTCCTAAAATAAATTTATAAATGTAAAATTATTTAAGAAAATATAAAAATATCACAACCCATTGGCAAGTCACCACTCGACAGTTGACTTGGAGGGGTACCATGGTTGAGTGGGTAGACTCAAACTAGGGGGAGCCATGAGCTGGAGCTCGAGTGGTGAGGGACTCACTTCATACACATGTGTATCACTCCTCTATCATGTCCTAGTGGCCAATTGGTTATGGAGCAAGGAGCATCATACACACATGTGCATCTGAGGGCAGACCACTTATTTACCTTCTCCCAATATGATCTTAAGTGTTAGTTTATTTCAACAGTAGGGATCTCTATTAAAACACTGTAACTTTGATTTTTATTCAGCTCAATTGTCAAAATATTTTTCAATTGTAGGACTAAATATTTTGATTTAGACAACTATCTAGAGCGTGGTGTCATCTAATGTTGTTTAGTAAGTCACGTCATTAGATAAGCCAAATCTTGTAGTAGATGAGCCACCACGATACCAAATGTGTAAAGCAATCTATTAGTGGTTCATAAATATGACATTACTTAATATGCATATGGCCTTAAATGATGATCTGACAACTAAAAAGGTGCCAAAGTGATAATTCTAAATTAGTAATTAAATCTATGCATTAATATTTCATATACAGATGTTAATTAATAAATAAATAATATAATTATACATATATTATCAACTCATTATGACATTTATAATGTTTTATCATTTAATTCCTAATGCATATTATTTTACTTATTTTATTAATACTATAAGACTAATCCCACTTGACTTTTATAAAGTCAAGTGGTGATTCTCTCATATTTTCTTGATAATTATTTGATTACAAGTACTTAGGTGATCTCTTATTATAAGTTAGAAGTAATGGAAGAAGCTCAAGTCATATAGAGAGAGGCGGCCTAATATATTTATGGGCCCAAGAGAGAACATCATTTTGGGATTAGCCTTAAGAGAGGATTAAGACATTTTATAGTGGCTAACCTCCTAAAATCTTGAGATTAAATATATTTTATATTTAAGTCTTAAGAGAGGATTAAGACATTTTGTCCCCCTCTTAGAGAGTTTTTTGGCTCTCTCCCTAGTAATGGCTAGCTGAAGGAAATAAAAGAGAAATCAAAGCTTGATCAAAAGCTATCTCGTGCTGAAGATCATCATAGAGAAGAGATTACTTAGAGTGCATCAAGATCATCTTAGATCAAGTATCACTTGGCCTAAGATTGACACACAACGAGGTTTTTGCAAGATTTAGATTTGAGGCATCCTTGTAATCCTCTCTATGAATAGATTAAATTTTAATTCAAACTAATTTTATTATCTATTTCATCATTTCATTGTGTTAGATTTATTTTCTCCCTTTCATTATACTTTTCATAACTCTTGTCTTCACCTTTTACATTTAATTCTACCCTTTGATAATCTCTCATATATATATATATATATAAGAAATAAAATATATAAAATTCATACTCTTATTACCCACACTCCTTAAGGATTGACTTTTACTAATCCCACATAGAAGAGTAAGGTTTTATAAATATTATTTGCATGAACTTGATTCCATTACAATGATATATTTAAACTTCAAATCGAGTCCATTAAATTTGCACCATTGTTAGGGAGCTAAGTGTCATTGAGAGAATTAGGATTTTGTATTTTTCTTTCATTTTTTATTTATTTTTTCTGTCATTTTTCCTTTAGTTGGATTCGTGACAACTCAACAAAGGTCAACACTTCTTATTTTTTCTTTTCTATAACCTTTCTTTCATTATAGAAATTCATGAAAAGAGGCCTTCAAAAGGTAGATCTCTCACTTGAACCCTTTGATTATTTATGTACTGTACTAGACTAAGAAACCAAATTTAGTGGACCTAGACTCATTAAGAAGATCTACTACTCTTGAGAATAGAAGTAATTGTGAAGAGATAGACCCACCACATAACCTACCATAGAACCCAAGGAATAGAGATTTACCTCAAAACTATGATGATAGAAGAATGAAAATGAGAAAAGATTATAATCCTATGGAGAGTAAACCAAGCACTAAAATTGAGCAGCTCTAGTAAGGGCTTCGCAGGCTTCCTCTAGATGGTCATGGTGGTTCTTGACAAACCGGTAGGCAGCTAGTAGATACCTCGGTCCCTATTGTTTCACCGAGTGAGTTTTAAGATAGAACATGCATTTAAACGAGTGTTACGTTTCAAAAATGTATGAATGCCATGTTTATTAAATTAGTGGGTAATAAATTGAAATTTGATAGATAATAAATTGAAATTAGTGTACCATTAAGCTCATCCATGTCGACAGGAAAATGAAAACCCAGAAATAGAGCATTGTAGCGGTGGCAAACCTGGCAGCCAAATCCTTTCCGGGGAGGTCGCTGGCCGGATAAGCAGGTGGAGGAAAAGGAAACGGTTCTCGGAGACTGGCCTGGCTTCCTTAGGCCGGCCTCCTCCCTCCTATAAATCTTCCCCTCCGAATAAATGGGGTAGGGAAATATCCGTCCACGAGTTTTGATTGCAAAAGGACGTTCGTAGAAGTAAGACAGGCTGTTTCTTTGACTTTTGGTGTCCTGTTAACCCTTATATGCAAAACACCGTAGGTTGCCAGGATGGCCCCGAAGCCCCCAGACCCTATGGCAAGTCTTTACGAGACCACCCTGGTCGCTCTAGGGACAGAGCCGCACCTAGTTGAAAAAATCGTCGTCTCCTTGTCGTAGTTCCTCTCTCTTCCCTTGCACCCTCTCTCTCTCTCTCTCTCTCTCTAGTTCCAATCCAAAGGTGTAACAAGCTGGCCAGCCAGTAGCCTTGCCCTGACACTTCTCCGGTCTAGGACAGGGCCCAGAATCTTCCTGAATCCTCGACTACAATGCATGTGTGGCATGATATGGTTAGGCAGATAAAATGGTTGCTTGTTTATATGTCATCGGTCACTAATTGTTACGGGTGAGGTGGACGGGATGGACACGAGGGTGCCATCGGGGCTTCGTTTTACCCGGTCACACACGGCACGAGGGCATCACACCATGAAGATTTTCCAAATGCCCGCTCTCCGCTGAGAGAGAGAGAAAGAGAGAGACAGACAAATAGAGATAGAGACAGATTAATAGAGATAGAGACAGATAAATAGAGACAGAGACAAAGACAGACAGACAGAGGGACGGACAGACATATAAGATATTTGTAGTCAGGCCGGAGGTTAGTTTTACCTTCACACTAATCATCTCCAGATAGGATGAGGAGACACGCTCATCTGCATTAATCGCTACCTACAACATGCCCATGTTGCCTATCTTGGTGCTGTGGCATATCACCCTTGTAGTGCCTCTACAGGCTGTGTCACATAGCTTGGCCTCGGATGGCAGTGTGCTTGCATCGCCTGAACCATCCTGCGGTGTGCTGTATTGTATCGTGCTGTAGGCCGGGCACGTTGTGGCACCATCATGCCGACTTGTGTCGGAAACCTTTCAGGGAAAGCTCCCCTGAACCTCCTTCCTTAGTATTACTTGTGTTCGCTTGGAGCTCTTTCAATTTTGATGTTAGCAGAATAAATAAAAAAAATGGGTACTTTATATTTTTATGTATGTCACACGAATATTAATTTTTATCAACTTACTATTAGAAAACCTAGAAAAGTCTATTGTGATGTTGAATGACCACATCTGAAGAGAGTCCAATTTCAAAGTGACCACACACCACATTTTGGGCAAAATAATAATGTTACATTCCCGAACTATGTTGCATGACCACTAAAGTATTTAAAAAATCATAGACTAACCATTGTATTTTTTTATAGATATTAGAGAGATATTTTTTAATTTTTTTTCTTCTGTTATTTAAAAAAAAGACCCATGAGTCATATGCCAAATGCATTTAGTTTGAAGAAAACTTTTGTTCCTAAGTCTCATCAGGTATATTACAAAAAAGAGAGAAGACAAGGTGGTACAGTCTTTATCAATTTGTCATGAGGCACCTCATGAGTAGCTACTGGAAAGCAAGAACTGACCATGGCAAACATTTGAGCAACTAATTTAAGCTCCAATAGTAGGAAAAAAAATATTGACCTATATGAGAATGTACTTCAGCATTATCGTTGGAGTACCTAGAATAATATATCGGGGCCAAATGTAGATTATTAAATGATCAACCTACTAAAATTAAGCTTTCACATTAATGACCAACAACTTTCCTAGCATAAGGAATCAATGGATTGAATACTGAAACCATTTATCTTTTTTCTACATTGAACAAGGCTCCTAATTGTATTGAGTGCAAATAAAGTGAGTCCAAGAATGTGCTCAATCCAACCTAAAATCAACCTTTAGAACAAGTAATTTTCGGTACTTGAGGTAACCAAGATTTACAAGTTTATAAAAGCTAGCTATATCCTTGTGCTCAGATTCTGTACGCAAAAAGAAAAAGAAGAGATAAAAAAAGTATATCAGGCCTAAATTGTTGAACCACCTTGTCAATAAAAGGTTTCAAATTTACTGTCACAAGTCATCTAATGCACAGGACTCACTTAGCTTGTACAGACGTACAAAACTTTAACCAAATCCAAAGTTCAAATAGATAAAGCAAGCCCTCACTCTTGGTTTCACATGTAGGCTTTATAAATCAACATATAGTTGGTTTCTATCTTAAAAACTTCTTTAAAAGGTGATATATCGTGCTTGACACTGATGAAATGTTGACCAGAGCTAAAAACTTGTTGAAATTGATCCTTATTGAGCTACAGCTGATAGAAAAGGCTAAACTGAATGATATAATTGTCATCATAAAATAATCAAAATTAACGTAGAGATAAGGAACAAAGGTTATTTTAAATATCAAGTTAGAAGTAAAAAAAAATATAATGTGCGTAGCTCTTAACACAAAATGGTCGTAATGGAATTTAAGTCTTTATATCCGCCCTAATTGAAGCTAACACGGGTTGATCATGCTCAAATTTCAATTAGATGTTTAATTCATTTGTATGTATGTTTTGTTATCTTATAACTCGATACTACCAGAAGCAAATTGTACATATAAATGACTGTCAGTATTCAGAGTACCTAGATACAAAGAGAAAAGTAGAGGCACGGAGATTGATGGATAAACAGATCTCAGATGAAGCTATACATGATGTATGTGTATATACTGGGCGAGAATGAGTGAGCGAACGGGATGGGTTCACACATCTTGTCCCTAGAGTATGTCCCTCACAATGTCTAAAATGTTTTAATGTGGTCATTTGACCATTAAGTCTACGTTAGTCACATAAGATATCTCCTGGTAGTATTAAAGATTTATTAAAACATAGAAATGTTCTTCCTACGACCTTTCTAAAGCTTATAACTTTAATTATTTTTTACTAATGATATCATGGAACGTTGAGAATAAAGCATTTACAATGATTTATCGTAACTGCACTAAAATTGACCAATTACGCATTTATGATTCAATGTTTAGTCAAACTACATGGCGCATGCTTTTGTTATATTGTGTTATATCGTAACTTGATACTAATACAAACAAATGGTGCATCTAAATGACAGTCATATTGAGAGTAGCTAGATAAAAAGAGAGGAAAACAGTGGCATGGAGATTGATTGATAGACATCTCTCAAATAAATCTACACATGACACATGTGTGCATACTGAACGAGAATGAGTGAGTAAATGGGGTCGGCACATGTTATTCCTGGAGTATTTCACTAACAATATCTAAACAGTTCTAATGAGGTCGTGTGACCACTAAGTCTACATTAATCACATACGACACCTGGTAGCACTCTAGATTTATGAAAACATAAAATGTTCTTTCTACAGCCTTTCTAGAGCTTATAACTTTCACTACTTTTTACTCTAAATGAACTACCAGATCAAGGTCTACTTAATGGACAAATATAGATCAAGCTGTTGATCATTTTATTTATCATCTTGATATTATTGCACAAAATCACGGTATCTTCGTGGAAACACCTATTTCGTCACTACAATTAACTTTTTTAGAATATTTTTGGAATTTAGAGAACTATTTTTCACTATTTATAGAGTTTTAGAATGCATATGTTCTCATCATCAAACTTCACTCATTTCATTTCTCTGTGATTTTAAACGTTTCAGAATCTTTTCAAAACTCCTGCTTCTTCATAAGTTTTGCTCTTAGAAAAAAAATTTGGTTCCATCATTGAAAACCTCCTCCAATACTAGTAAGCATCATTGAAATACAAAAATAAAAATAAGGGACATCAGCTAGAAGAATATAACCAAAGGAACTACACATTTCAATATCTCATGGTCTCATAGAGAACAATCTATGCTTTAGAGAAAGTTCCTAGTTTCATTTTATACTCATCATTTACTCTTGTTGGGTATGAATTAGTCTTAATTTGACTTCAAGAGAGAGATGTGTTCTTCTGCCCGTGAGCTGTGGTGCCAACATTGCAGGTTTTGTGTCCCCGAACGCAGTCAAAGCGGGGAGCCTTCTTGAACCAGTGATGGTGGCACAGGTTCTGATATACCCTTCCTTCATTGGCACCATTCCTACTCACCAATGGATTAGACTGGTCAACTCCTATGACAAGCCAATGGGCATTATAGCTTGGAGACTCTTTTTGGGTGAAAAGTTCAGCCTGGACCACCCAGCCGCAAACCCCCTCCTGGCTGCCTCCCCAGGGGCTGCCGTTGAATTTGCAGAGCGTGACTGAATGAGGGACCGAGCCACCACCTACTTGGAGGAGTTGCGAAAAGTGAATGTGGACGTCTCAGCTCTGGAGTACAAGGACAGGCCATGAGTTTGTAACGCTGAAGGAGCTGCTGAGGACACCGCAGGCATAGATCTGTGAGGACATTCATATCTTGGCCAAGAAGTACATATCAATCAGGGGCCCATGAGTTATCCTACTAATTGGCTTGACTTGCAACAGTGAATCTTGAACTTCTCTCTTCCTTTAGTATTTCCATTTCCCCCTCTAGAAACCATAACTTGTTTTAAGGAAGCATGTTGTGGATTGATCGGTTTATGGTAAAATTTCTAACTTTATTTTTCCTGTTTTTATTCATCATCTGTTGAAACACCTTTCCAAATTGACTAGAGTTGATTAGTCTTTAGAATATGATATTATCAGTTAGACTGTCCTCTATGGGAGGCAAAAAATATCTGATTGAACACATCTATACACGTTTTATGTTAATTTAAATGTTCTTAACCTTCTAACTTTGAATAAGAATGGGGTTTCTTGGAGTTGATCCAATTAAATTTATTTTTTTTGTGAATCTATGCACTAAGACTTTTAATTTATTGACGATTCATGTAGAAAAGGAAGCCTAGATTCATTTGATGATTTTGGTATGATGGTATGATATCATCATAAAAAATAGCATTGTGTTTGAGAGGTAAAATGATGTCATAGTGATTCATTACTATCATTCTTTTTTAACTGAATTATTGTTTGAACACAAATGATATATGGAGTTTAAGGAGGGAGTTTAAGAAACTAGAGATGGTAGAGAGGTCAAGGATGATCGTTCATAATATTTTGCTCATTGGAACGAGCTAAATTTATAGGAAGTTTTGATCGGAAAACTTTTTCTCTCTTCTGTCATTTCTTCAGTGTTAACATTATAAAATTAAATAGGAATATGAACAGTCATAAATCAATACAATACGTTTAGCCATTAATTACTAAGATATATATCTGAAGGATTAACATATGCCTTGTAAGAATTTATTCTGATTAAGACATCTCTTAATAAAGTAAAAATTTTGTACTCAAGTCAACCCCCCCTTTCTGTACCTATGAGTGACCGAAAATTGAAGACATTGATGCATGAGATTTCACAATATCATCTTTTTTTTCTGAATCTGAAGTATGACTTGTTAGTTATTGGGTCAACTAATGAGTAGACACAATATTTTATAGTTAGTTTCTCTTGTTTAAAAGTATATAATGGCTTTATAGACTCATTAAGTTGACTCACATGACGTGTCCTATATATGCCTGTGGTCATTGCTAATGGAAAATGATCACACTATTGTGGTATATGGGTAAAGATGTTTGTAGTATGTTAATAGCTTAATGAACATGGTCGTTGACTCATGGCTTGAGAACACCTTGTTGGCCTCTTGGTGACAGCACAAAATCACAAAGGGGTTTAACTAGTCATTTTTTTCTCTTTGTAAATTCTAACTGTATATTTTATGCAAAATAAGAATTGTCAGCAAAATTACTCCACAAGTTTCTAGTGATTTGGACCTCCATACCTACATCTACTCTATTATACTCTGTCCCCAGGTTGCACTAAATACTGAAGTATTTACATGATGACTTCCATGTGTAGCAAAATACTGGGTTTTTCAGCTACAGTCAACCTTAGATTTTTCAAAATGCCCTCCTACAGTGTTGAGATCTAAGTGAGCTTTAATAAGAGAGAAGATCCCACTTCTCTCTTCTTAGATACAACTATCTTGGAGTAGTAAATTCCTTGTCGAAAACTGAAACAAGAACACACAACTTTGCTTCGAGGATTCGTGACCTTATCTAGCTGGCTCAATCAGGAACACAATTTTTCCTTCGTTCATCGTGGATTTCCCCTTTACGCAACAGATAACCAAAATGCAATGGGATGTTCAGGAGAGAAAAAAAGCTTCGTTGCTTCCATGAGATCTGTTAGAGACCATCGGCGTTGAAAATGAATGGAGGAGCTCCTTTCTTCGCTATAAACTCAACGGATCGCACACAATGCGGCTGGACAATTTATTGGCTTCTCTTGGTTTCAGTCGATCGGCGTTCCCTTCCCACAAAAGAGTGAGAGCAACAGAAGGTGATTGATGGGAAACCAGTTTCTCTTGCCTTTGTGGAATTGATCAGACGAATGTGACCTGACAAGAGCTTGGGTCGTTCTTCGCTTCGTGAGATTGAGCAAGTGGCTGTGGCGCTTGAAGAATGATCGATCAAGCGTTCGTCGGATTTGCCTCCGCACTAGCAGGTGACAACAAGAGAGAATGATTGAAAAGAATCAAAATATTCGCGTGATCGAGCCATGTCTACAGTAGACACGGGGGAGCTCGAACTCAGCCATGATGGCCAGTAAGCACCCTTCACTGTGTTAGGTGCCGGAGACCCAAGATTGGGGAGTGTCGAGAGGGCGAGTGCATGGTGGCGCTGTATGTCGTTCATCTCCTTTGCGATCAGCCAGAAGGGAGAGAGAAACGCTAAAAGCGATTAGGATTAAAAGCTTTCTTATATGTACATTTTTCTACTCTAAATGGGATTTATTTAAAGTCCAGATCGAATGTGGAATAACGGATAGATACGTTTATGCATTGTTTATTAAACCCGAGATGCAAAGTTCAGATCCAATTCGCCTTTAAATTAGAAACTCATTCATAGATCGACCTGTTATAGCTTTATATCCGGCCAAATTATAAAATATTCTCTTCAATTCCAGCCCCAAAAGCAAGATCCATTCCACATTTCTTTCAGGCCCAAAAACTCAGTAATCTCTTCAGATTCATGCCAAAGGATGTTAGAAACTCGCCGTAGAGACGACGGTAGTTAAAACGTCACCGGTGAGATCACCTTCTAAGTCACAGGAAAAACCCAGCAGGAGGAACAAGGAAGACTATCTAGCTCATTGAAAACCTCTTACAGCCCTCTTTAAATAAGGGAGCAACAAAAGGGGAAAAGGAATAACCGTAAGCAATAAGCAACCTCTTACAGCTCTAGGCAGGTGTGCCTCGAGACGTGCAAGGCTTATGCCGTTACACGAAAAGACGTGCAAGATGTGCAAGGTTCTCCGTTCACGACAATCTCCTCTTGAGCCTTGCTATACTTACCACGAACATCAACAAGCCCAATCTTGGCGCGAAACTCATGGAACTTGACTTTTTCGAGTGGCTTCGTCAGAACGTCTCCTAATTATTCTTCACTCCTGATGAACTCCACATTGATCTGACCCTTTTCTGCGGATTCTCGGACAAGATGATACTTCACTTCAATATGTTTGCTATGTCCATGGAGAACTGAGTTCTTGATCAACGCTATGACAAACTTGTTGTCCACCTTCAGGATCGGCACACTTGGTGCTGAGCCATACACCTTTACTAACACCTGAGCGAGCCACACACCCTGGCAAGCAGCATTGGCGGCCGCAATGTACTCTACCTCGCAGCTAGATTGAGCCACCACCTTCTGTTTCATTGACTACCAAGTAATTGGGCTGTTGGCCAAGAAGAAAATAACTCCAGTCGTGCTCTTCCGAGCATCAACATCACCAGCGAAGTCACTATCGCTGAACCTTGTCAGCTGGACTTGCTTCTCCTTTTTCCTTTCATACTTGAGACCCCAACTCTTGGTTCCCGCCACATAGCGAAGAATTTGCTTCACAGCAGCCAAGTGATCCTTTCGTGGCTCCTCTAGAAAACGACTCACATAGCCAACCGCAAATGCCAAATCTAGACGAGTATTGACTAGGTACCTGAGACTCCCCACGATGCTTCTGTATGCTGTCGCATCCACCAGTGGCTCCGTGCTCATCTTGCTCAGTTTTAGACATGTTGCCATTGGTACTTGACAGGGATTGTACCCTGCCATCCCGCTCTTCTTCAGAATCTTGGCGGCATAGGCTCCTTGGCTGATCGAGGTGCCCCTTGCACTCTGCCTGACTTCAATGCTAAGATAGTAGCGAAGCAGGCCGAGGTCGCTCATCTTGAATGCGTCAGCCATCTCTTTTTTGAAATGCTTGATGTAGTCGCAGCTGTCGCCGATGATCACCAGGTCATCGACGTACACCCCGACCACTAGCTGCGCCTCCCCATTCCACCTAGTGTAGATGGCATGTTTCAAGGGACTCCTCCTAAATCTAAACAACAGCAACGTTTCGTCCAACTTCGCATTCCAGGCCCTAGGCACCTGATGTAAGCCGTAGAGTGCCTTCTTCAGCTTGAATACCTTGTGCTCGTTGCCCGTGTTGATGAAACCAGCCGGCTGCTCCACGTACACCTCTTCCTTGAGATCGTCATTCAAGAATGCCGACTTGACATCCATGTGGTGCACCTCCCACCCCTTGTGCGTCGCGAGAGCAATGAGAAGGCGCACCGTGTCCAGCCGCGCCATAGGTGCGAACACCTCGTCGTAGTCGATCCCTTAACGTTACGCATAGCCCTTCACCACCAGGCGCATTTTGTACTTCGCCACGGCTCCGTTTTCATCCCGCTTCACCTTGTACACCCACTTCAACCTGATCGCCCGACGACCATGTGGGAGGTCTACCAGGGACCAGGTGCGGTTTTCCTCGATCGACGCCATCTCCTCCTCCATAGCCTTCCTCCAGCTCGGGTGGCCCTCTGCTTCAACAAAAGAGACCGGCTCATCAGAACTTACAATGTGCAGCTCCTTTGCAATTAACGCCCGCGACGCGAGACCACATGGCGAGGCCAGCCCAACGATGTTGTCGATCTTGCAGAACCGAAGTGGCGCATCATCGTGATTAGCATCCAGGTGGTCGATGTGGACACTCGGTGGAGAGGCGAACTCCACCTCCTCTCCTCCATCTTCAATCGGCGCTGCTCCCCCACTATAGTGCACAGACAGTGGCGACATCGGCTCCGGTCCCAGGGCATCATCATCAAGTACCTCGATGGCGCCATCGAGCTCTGGAGGTACCTGGTTCCTGACGGCATACTCCAATGTGAACATATCGTCGTGGCTGCCCACATCCCCTTGCTCCGCACCGCTGCCCCAGTCCCACTGGGCATTTTCGTCGAACACCACGTCCCGTGTCACATGGACACGCCTCGCGGTGGGATCGTAGGCTCGGTAGGCCTTTGATCCGTACTCGCAGCCGATGAAGATCATCTTGCGGCCGCGGTCCTCCAGCTTCTTGAGATGCGGTGTCGTGTTCAGGACGTAAGCAATGCATCTGAACACCTTCAAATGGTGCACCGCTGACTTCTTCCCGTGCCATACCTCGAAAGGCGTCATGCCGTCCACGCTCTTCGTGGGACACCGGTTCAGGATGTATACAGCAGTTGTCACTGCCTCACCCCAAAACCAGCCCGGCAGCCCCTTTGCCTTGAGCATGCTCCTCGCGGTTGCTATCATCGTGTCGTTCCTGCGCTCGACGATGCCATTCTGCTGCGGGCTGTATGGCGCCGTGTGTTCACGATGAATACCTTCTCCCGTGCAGTGCTCTGCGAACTCATGTGAGGTGAATTCGCCGCCCCGATCAGCACGGAGCGCTCCCAGATTCAGTCCTGACTCGCCTTCTGCGCGAGCCTTGATCTCCTTGATAGCCACCGCAGCACGGTCCTTTGAAGGCAGCATGGCCACCCACATGTACCGGCTTCAATCATCCACGAGCAGCAGGAAATACTTGTTGCCGTTTGGCGTTTCCGACGCAATCGGACCACAGAGGTCGCTGTGCACCAGCTCCAGAACACGCCGCACCCGGTACTCTCCCTGTTGGGGGAACGGCGACCGCTTTTGCTTGCCAGCGAGACACGCCTCACACAGCTGGTCCACCAGACCAACCGCCGGCCACCCGCACACCAGCTCCTCCTGAGCCATCTTCCGCAGCACGGTCATGTTGACATGGCCGAGGCGCGCGTGCCATTTCCAAGCTTCTTCGACTGCCCGCGCCTCCAAGCATACTTGCCGAACCAGCTTGGCGTGGAGAATGTACAGCCTGTTCTCTCCACGCATGACCTTTGCTAGGAGCCGTCCGCCTGGCTCATGGATCTTCATCGCCCCCTTCTCGATGTCAATATGGTACCCGGCCTCATCGAGTTGGCCGACGCTGACGATGTTCGTCGTCAGTCGGGGAATGTAATACACCCCCGCGAAGGACCGGTGCTTACCGTTCTTGCACAGAACACGATTGCCCCCCGGCCTTCGATCCGCGCCACCGAGTCGTCGCCGAACCGCACCGTCCCAAGTACCTTCGTGTCCAGCTCGGTGAAAGCTGTACGGGAACCCGACATGTGGTTCGTGGCGCCCGTGTCCACGACCCATGCCTCCTCATCACGCAGCTCCTCCTCTTCAAGGTGGGCGAACACCTTCTCTTCCCGTAGGTGGATCTAGGTCTGGGCGCCTGGCTTCCGCTCTTCTTTGGCGGCCCCTCCATTGACGGGGACCCCTTTTGCTCCTGGCGGCGGTGGGCTTGCACGTCGGAGCCAATCCTCTGCCTGCGGAGTCGCAGCAAAACGTGGTGGAGTGGAGGTTGGTGGCAGTGCCGTTGATCTGGCCGTCGTTGACTTCACGAGAAGGAGCGAGGCCTCCTCCTCATTCTGGACGACGTGGGCCTGCTCTTTCTTGGGCTTGGAGCGGCACTCGCGGGCCCAGTGGCCCAGCTTCCCGCATCTCCTGCACTCATCACCTCTGGGCCGGCCTGAGTTGCCCGTCAGGCCGCCTGATGACGAGCCCTTGTCGCTGCCACGGCCGCGCCCGCGCCCGCGCCCATGTCTGACACGGTGCGTCACGCTGCTGCTACCTCCACCACCAGTTTTCTCATTATCACGCTTCCTCCTCCGTGCATCCCACTCTTCCTCAGTCAAGTGCAGCTTGCCATCGTGGTGCATACCCGATGGCAGTTCCTTGAAGGCATCCTCCGCCGCCTTGAGCCGACCCTTCAAATCCGCGACAGTGAGCGTCGACACGTCGAGCAGCATCGTGATCGCGACCACGATCTGCCTGAAACGTTGGGGAACACTGCGGATTATCTTCTCCACTACCTGCGTCTCTTCGACCTTGTCGCCGAGGGTGTTGAGAGTCGACGCCATGCTGTTGAGACGCAACGCGTAGTCCTCAATAGACTCTCCCTCCTTGAACGTCGCCGAGTCGAACTGCCGCCACAAGTTCTGAGCCAACGCTTTCTTTACGCGGTCATCGCCGATCCGCATGGTGGCGATAGCCTCCCAGGCCTCCTTGGCCATCTCCTTGTTCGCGATCACCGGCCACATTTCCGGCGGCACGGCGCTGCAGAGCGCGTCGAGCGCCTGCATGTCTTCGTGGGGTTCGACGCCCCCTTTCTCAATGGCGGTCCAAAGCAACCGGGCTCTGAGCTTGACCTTCATGAGCAGTGCTCAGTCGGAGTAGTTGGTCTTGGTGAGCATTGGGAACCCGGTCCCAGCGCTCACCTCACGAATCACCCTCTGGACCACTCTGTCCTTTCCTCCTGCCATAGTGCGTCTCGATTGCGCGTTCTCGATTCCAACGGTTGTACCTTGCCGCGATCAAGTCCCGGCCCGCAACCTGGGAGCTCTGATACCACTTGTTAGAAACTCGCCGGAGAGACGACGGCAGTTAAGACGTCGCCAGCGAGATCACCTTCTGAGTCACAGGAAAAACCCAGTAGGAGGAACAAGGAAGACTATCTCGCTCATTGAAAACCTCTTACAGCCCTTTTTAAATAAGGGAGCAACAAAAGGGGAAAAGGAATAACCGTAAGTAATAAGCAACCTCTTACAGCTCTAGGCAGGTGTGCCTCGAGACGTGCAAGGCTTATGCCGTTACACGAAAAGACGTGCAAGACATGCAAGGCTCCCCGTTCACGACAAAGGAAAATCTATTTTACTTATCATTTAGGCCCGATCATGACTTTATTTCTCTTCCATTTATCCTGAATAACTGAGAATGAACTTCATAAATAGCTAGGATCACGCATGCATCTGCACGTTATGGTCATCATAAAGATCTTTAAATCATCCAACCTCATGTTATATTTACTCGCAGGAGATGATGATGCCCGGCCAGGGGGAGGAGTGCCCTGGCCTCCTCGACGAGCGAAATGACGCTCGCGGCGTGCCGGCTTATCCCGACCCTGCCGTTGATGACTCGGAAGCTCTTGTCATCCGTAGTCGTCTCCTCCACGCGCGCCAGCTGTACCGTCATTCCGTAGCGCTCGAACAGGAGAGTGGTCTCCGAGCTGGACTTCATCATCTGGATGGCTAACTCGATAGCGAACCTCCGCATTCTTGGGAATTTGACCGACGGCCGATGGTACCTCCAGCGTAGAGACCAGCCTCTCGGCCAGCTAGTTCTCTGTCACGTCGGCCGTTCGAAATTCCCTCGCCTGTTCTTCTGGACTGGAGAATTGCAAGTGTTGGGCGGCGAGTCCAATTGACGCCTCCAGCAACTTCCCTTCATGGGCCATTGCTGTTGCGTTTACCTGCAAGAGCCATAGTCCTCTGATCCTACAAACCGGCTGCGCGGGGACAAGGTGGTAATAATATTGAAGCAGTAGCATCCGCTTCGATCACGAATAACTTTAACTGTGAGAATGGCGGTGACGAAGACTCTGTTGAGTTGAGCGTGGAAGGCGGCGCCGCCTTACGCGCACAAGTTTCTTAAAATCCTCAATGAGTTGACTTGCAGTAGAGGGTCTTTCAGCGCGGCGACGAGACGGCCAACCACACAGGTTCAGCATCCGCTGGCAGTTTCTGGTACTATCCAGCGCCAGCATTGCTAGGGCTTCTCCGGCCTCCTTCGTCCGGTTGAAGAGGATGCAGAACAACCGCCGTAGCACCCCACCGGTGCCTCGTATTCTCTCCCTTGCCTCCTCGTCCATCGCCAAGCTTGTCGGTATCTCACTACACAGTTGTTGCAGGCCTGTGTACTGCTCTTCGTACTGTAATATCTCCCGGATGTTGCTGATGGTGATGACATTCTCGGATATTTCCCGCCGGAGCCGCAATCCCGTCGGACAGGTTGCCCTCGCCAACCTCTTTACCAGGTAGAGAGACTGGCTGAGGGCTGTGGTCTGGGCAGCCGTCAACTGATTCCTGAGTATCTTCTCGCCGTGGCCGATGAGATCAATGATCTTCGGCAGAAGTCCCGGAGTGCGCCAGATCTTGCCGCGGTTGTCGTGCTTTCGGAAGAGACTACTCAGTATCAGCAGACCAAGCAAATTCAGAGTAGAGTAATCGTTTGGTAACCCCTCGAACTTAGTGCCTTGGCTTGTGTCTAGAAGGGATATGATTAGACTCCATGGCACCGGGAATCTCGGTAATGGCTGGGTTCCTTTGAGCTTGGAGAGTATTTCGGCGGCCGAGAGCCGGATCTCGGCATCGGCAGGGTCCTTCCAGTTGAGCATCGCAATCAATCGCTCGATCATCTCCTCCGAGGTGCTCACCTTCCGAAGACTTTCGGCAGCAAAGTTTGCACTATTTGCGAACATAATGAGTTGCTCTTTCTCGAAATCAGAAACCAGAAGCTTCTTTGCGAAGGAGAGGAGGTCGATCTTTAGCCGGTCGATGATGCTGCCGTTGATGCACCTGGAGTAGGCGTCGAAGAAGAAGAGGCATACGTAGCGGTGGCCGTCAGATCCGAAACCGCATTCGTCGCTCACCCGCTGGAGAAGATTTTCGACGAATATCTTGAATATCCAGTATAACGTCTCTACGAGGCAGAGAACCTCCTCCGCCAGAGCCGTCGAGTAGAACACCATAAGCGCTCCCTCGCGGTTGCGTTCAGCAGCGTTGCCCTCCTCGACCTCGCCATAGTCCTGCGTGATGAGCCTCCAGAGCGACAGGCCGACGCAGGCCAACGTCGAAATCACCTGCACCCAGGGTAGAATCAGTATGATCTTGCTCAACCGGGAGATCGTACGAAGGTAAGCTAGCAGCGGCATGTCGCCGGACTCCCATGTCCGCGGACAAGGCGAGGGTGCGGTAGAGTGTGCACCAAAATGGATGGGATCGCCGTGGCCGGGCACCAACCCGTTCAGGTTCTTCGACCTGACAACATGTTCTCTTCTTGTGGTTAGATCATGCGTCAGACACCACTAAAATTGCCATTCAAATCTCTACAATAATTGGTAGAAAGAATACCCATAACATTTGAGTAGCCCAAAGATGATTGTTTTAAAAACTTTAGTCATTGGAGAATGCATAAATTTATAGAGAAATTTGGGTCGCGTATTTTTCATAGTTATTCAACGTTAAAAGAAAACGTAGCTAGAAATTCCAAGTGTCAAAAGCTGACAAGGCACATTTTTTTCTAATTTCTACTCAGCTCGCTGTGGACGCCGCCATGGATACCCAGAAGAGAGTTCGTAAGTTGCTGTCATCGTCGTCATCACGGCCACTTCCGCCGCTGCTGTGTTCACCTCCGCCTGTCACTCAAGAGGGGAGCTCGCTGCCATGCTCCCACTTCTGTGCTCTCCTCTGACTGTCACTCAAGAGTGGAGCTCGTTGCTTCCGCCGCTGTGCTGCATCGTCGTCTGCCGTGCTCGCCTCCGCTTGTCACATAAGGATTAACAATAATTATATTATATTTGTTCTAGTGTACTCAGTTTCCTACTAATTTTCCATTCTATAAAATGACTTATTCTAATAAATTAGAGGATTTGTCACCTAAATATGACAAGATAATCTCGGAAAATGACGCATAATTAGCTCTAAGAACTAGAAATTGACAAGTTTATGGTCCAAGTGCTCAGCTGAAGGGTTCATCAACATTTAAACTAGTTCATGGGGAAGTAAAATAATAAAAAAAAACGGAATAATCTACAAATAGAGAAAACCTTGGCAATATTGAAATGTAAAACTATAGAAATAAATAGTCAAACATGCCCCGTGAATCACTTACCCAATAGATTCATGGGTCATATCTATCGCCCACATCTCAAGCTTGCCACCAGATCCATCAACTTCCTTAAATGGAAATAATTGCCTGCTAGCAATGGTTGTTCGTTCAGTTAAATTCATGTGCATCTTCCAGCCACGCTAAATATTTCATACATATTGGGGGAGTTTATCCAATGAGGATCCCGATTTCTAGGTTTTTCCCTCTGGGATTTGAACGTATTGAAGAAAACTAGAGGTGTTGAGGTTTGGTTCCGGTCCGAACCGGAAAAGACCGGCCGGCCCAAAGCGGTCCGTCGCGCTTCAAAATTCAAATCGGCACACCCCTCAGGGAGCCGTTGGCGGTTGTCTACGTTCACTCCTTTAAAAGGTACCCCCACCCCAACAAAACTAACCTCACCGATTAGAGTGGGGTGAGCCTGACGTGAAAAGGGGTGACCACCGATGAGAGTGGGGTGAGATTAGTAATCTTCACCCAAATATTCATACGCCACCTGTCAAAGTCTTCTACACCCCCGAAACGCAACCTATTCTCGAACCTCTCGATGCCCGGTGTCAAGTCACTATTCTCACCCCCACGGAGCTAAATCTGCCGCCGTCTTCCAAATCAGCGGGGAGGGACGTTATCAGGTGGGGCCCACTGGCGCCGAACGACCAACCACAGAAGGGAGGAAGTGAGAGAGATAATAGGGAGAGAGGAGGGAGAGGAGAGAGAGAGAGAGAGAGGTGGGGTGGAGGAATCGCATGGCTCCACCAACGGTCGTTTGACTCCACTATTTTTCTGGCTTTTGTCGTTCGAATTCGAAACTATCTAAGAAGGCGGCCAGGGGGTGGCGGCTGTTCTCCGCGGCGGCGGCGGGGGGTACTCTGATCCGGTGCTTCTTCCTCGACTGCCGATGGGAGACGCAGCTTGCGTCGCACAGAGCTTCTGTCAGCCTCCTGCGGCTGCTGATCGGGAGGAGGAGGTGAGAAAGGAAGAGGAGGATCCACAGATTACTTTCCCTGCTTTTTTTTCCCGATTTTGTAAGCATTCGACGGCGCTACTGATCCTGGCGATTGTGATCTCTGTTCCTTCAAGGAGTTCCGATGATGGAATCGATTGAGTTCTTCCTTCGATCTCTGACCCAGCGTTTGAAAGGCATCGATTGTTTCGGTTCGTCCGCTGATTCTTATTATTTCGTCCTTCGATCCCCCGCCGATCTCGTGGTTTCGTCTCCATCTTCAGCAAGCTTGTCATCTTTTTTAGGGTTTGATCTTGTTTTTGTTCCAGTGCTGTCGCGCCTTGTTGATCCCCGCAACTGAAACCCTAATTTACCTGTCCTTGCGGCAGGAGAGCTCATTCCCCAGGTTAGAGGGCTCCATCTCCTTTGGAAGATACGTCTCCGAATCCTTGGACTGGGGGAAGTGGTCGTCCTTCCGCCAGAACAGGTACATCGAGGAGGCCGAGAAGTCCTCAAAGCCAGGCTCCGTCGCGCAGATGAAGGCGCACTTCGAGGCCCGCTTCAAGAGGATCGCCGCCATGAAGGCCGCTGCTCAGGCCGAGCAGGCAAGCTCCACTTTGGCACCTGGTGGCAGAGAAGAAGAAGAAGCCGCCTCCATGGATCCGGCTTCGGTCAATCCTCAGCCGGCCCAATTTCAGATCGAAGCGGCGGCCGGCGCCATGGAGCCAGAACCTGAGGCGGCCTCTTCTCCCCGGGAGCAGAGCTCTCCGGCGACTGGAAGGAGGGAAGAAGGCTGCCGAATGGGGAAGGATGAAGATCAGACCGCCAGTAGAGAGCCTTCACCAAAGACCTTACCCCCAGACGGCGAAATCAGAACAAAAGGAGACGGCATCCTCGTGGTAGCTCAGTCAAGAGCAATGAATGGAGATGAGGAGAATCAAGGCGACAGCGGCGTCTCCGATTCGGCCCCGAGAAGAAGCAGCCAAGCCATGAAACCGCCGCTGCAAGTGCGAACTCTGCATCTCCTTTCTGATCTTCTCTTCTTCTGGTCCGAACTGGTGAAGACTAACTCACGGCATTCTTCAGGAGAGCTCTGCTGCCAATCGGGAAGTTCCAGCTTCGGGTTCGAAGGGGAAGAAGCAGAGCCGCTTCATCTCTTCGAAATGGCCGCCGTTGTTCGGACAGGCTCCCACTGCGTCGTCACCTTCGTCCTCGACCCCGAGAAACCCTAGGAAGGAAAATCCTTCGAATCAGAGCGGCAAGAGGTCCTCGAAGGATCCAGTTTCCAAGTATCCACGGATAGCCAAGGAAACCCCGCCACCTTCGGCAGCGAGAACCGCTCCTGCAGACGAGAAAAATGGGGAGTCAAACCCTAACCTGATTTCTCCGGGGAGATCCGACTCCCCCATGAACCTGCTGAAGACCCCAACCAGGGTACGCTTCTCGCTGAAGACCTTCTATCGATCTCCTTCTGATCTGACGAGAGCTCCTGCTCGATCTGTTCATCTTGCAGTCTCCTACGGCTAGAATCGCCCCACAATCAGAAGCCAGAAGGTAGAACCCCTTTAATCTCAGGCCTCCATGGATGGACCAACCATCAGAACCAACCAGCCTGAGTCATTTCCTGAAGCTTTCAAATCTCCCTAATGCTTTCTGATCCAACTCCCCGCAGGACGGGCACGCCTTCTCAACCCAGTAGTAAAAAAGTTAACGTCGTGAGCCAATCGGTTTCAACCAGGTGCGTTCTTGCTGCTCTCGTGGGTCTGATCTCGCGGCATTGTAGAATCGAATTCCCCTCTTGAGATGCTTCTGATGATTCAAAGTGAAAACCTAGATCAGACCCTGCTGAATTTTTTTTGTTTTCCTGATGGCAGCTGCTGGAAATCTTCAAGCAGCGTCTGGAGGAGGCCCGCCCAGGTTGTGTGCTCTCCCTTCAGATTCAGGAGCGATGAGAGGGCGGAGAAGAGGAGAGAGGCAAGCCCTGTAACAGCACCACAGCTACTCCATATCAAGTTTTTCTTCACCGTTTTTGCAGAAATCCTCTTGAATCTCATGAAGATTGAGATCCGCAGAAATATTCCTTTTTATATATAATTTTTGGGTAGATTGGAAGTTTATCATGCATATTTTAAGATCACATTTTGATGATAATATGTTCATGGAGAGCGGAATCTATTTTCACAGATTCATATGAAATAACATTAGTCGAAGGTCCATTATTCTAGGTCCATAGCACATATCGAATGCATTTATGAAGAAATAATTCATTATTTGCAGTTTTTTCTTGAGCTCGAAAAGAAGCTCGATGCTGAGAAGTTGGAGAGCCAATCGAAGGCCAAGGTCAACGCCGAGCTCTGGTTTCTTCCAGTTTTCGTTGACTTTAGATCTGAATGTCATTATTTTGGGCAGGAAATAGCCGAAAATGAACTGAAGAAGCTACGGCAGGGCCTAGGGTTCAAGGCGAGACCAATGCCAGGATTCTATCGGGGGACTGAGCCCCCAAAGAATGAGATCAAGAAGGTATCTTTTTCCTTCTAAGGATAAGATGGGTTAATTTTTGTTTACTAGATTCTTATAGGGTTGACTCTATTTCTCTGAGACTGTTCTTCTTATCTCCGCTTGACATTACTCTTATCCAAAAGTCAGATTTCTCTAATCCACCGTGAACAATGAATTAATTTATTTAATTTCACAATGATTGCTAGTAGAACACTGCTTAGGATCAGCTGTGTTGGAACTCGAGCTGTTTTACTTTTTTAGTTAGCATACGCGGTTTGACTCTCCACGACCATATGTTAAAAGTCAACCCTTATTAGATGATGATTTTAGGTTGTAAATGCCGATTGAGCCCATTCCATGATGACTTTTTTTATTTTTTTAGTTAGCCAATTTTTTATCTGGTCTTCGCCGACACTGACTTGTGTTTTCAGTCAACATGTGATAAAAGTCAACCCTTTAGCATTATTTTAGACTTACGGACTCTTCATCAGCATTACGTCTTCAGGGTTTTCGTCAGGCAGAGCTAAAAAAATGTCAAAAAAGTCAAACCTTTGATTCGTCCTTCCTGACCACAGCTGCCAAAAGACCTTCCCTTTTTTTATTTTTCTTTTTTACCCCTGTAGGTTCCGGCAACTCGTCCTCAATCTCCTAAACTCGGAAGAAGAGGTGATGATCCTCCAGAGGCTTCTCCCAGAAGCTGCTTTCCTTCTCTGAGATCAGCTTCTTTGGCGAGGAAGTGCGGCTCCCCCAGCTTGGGCTCGGGCAACAAGAAGAAGGACAAGCAGCTTGAGCTAGGATCGAGCTCTTCTCGCTCCTCCCCATGGAAGGAGAAGTAGAACAGAAAGTGCAAGAAAGAGAGAGTTCTAGAGAGAGAAAAAATTTCGGAATTCTCATCTGAATTCATCTGAGAATGAATAGAGTAGAATAAGAAACAGTCTCTGGCCGTGTTTGTCCGAGAAAATTTTCTCTCTTGCAATAGTCCTCTGGTTTTATGTGGTGTGAGTTGGCTTCAAGAATTTTGAAAGAGCTAGAGAGAGAGAGAGAAAGAGAGAGAGTTGGCCATGCTTCTAATAATAAGTTGACTTGGATGAAAGGCAGAGTCTAGCCTTCTCTCTCTCTCTCTCTCTCTCTCGATAAGACCCCGAGAAGCCCTTCTTTGAGCTTTTACTGGGGCCCAGTCCAGTGGCACCCTAAATCCTTAATCTCTCTCCTCTGTCAAGGTGGGGTGGGCATTCAGTTCTCGGAGTCAACCAACCCAGGTTTTTAAAAATTAAATATATCTCGGAGTTTCTGGGCCGGGCCCGCAGGAGATCATCAGGTCGGTGTCTGGGTTTTTAACGCCACTCTGACCCGACAACCCGACTTCAAGTCAACGATTCGGGCAATGCTACGCGTCAGAAGCAGAAGCAGCCCCCGCCTTGGGCGATCATCATCTCCATCAAGTCCATCTCCCTCTTCACGTCGTCACACTCCCCCAACACCGGCGGCGCCGCCTCCTCCTCCTCCCAAAGGGGTCCGACGAGCGGCGCCGCCCCCCCACCGCCGCCAGCCACACCGGAGAAGATCCCCCCGTCGTCGAGGAGGAACTCGGGCACGTCGCTGAGATCGAACATTGGCAGCAGCAGGAGCTGCTCCCCCCCGCCGCCGGTGACCTCCTCCCCCACCGCGGCGGCGCCGGAGCTGGATGGCGGCGGCGGCGGGTCGGCGGCGGGTTGGAGGCTTCTGATGTAGTCCTGGAGGAGGGAGCTGGGGCGGGGGTTCCTGGAGGAGGAACTGCGTTGGCGGCGGCGAGCGAACTGGCGGCGCTTGGTGGCGTTCCAGTGGTTCTTGATGGAGTTCTCCGTCCTCCCGGGCAGGCGCCGGGCGATCTCCGCCCACCTGTTCCCCACTTCCACGTGTGCTTCGATCAGGATCCGGTCCTCCTCCTCGCTCCACGTGTCCTTCTGAACGACAGACATACGCACACTCCGGCGTCATATGGAGAATGGGGCCTTCAAATAAATAAATAAATAAATATGTGGATATACAGTTTCTTTAAATATGTGGATAAATAAATATGCGGATTTTAAGGAAAAAATTAATCTTTTAATTTTTCCATTAGTCTTAAAAAATTGGATTTAAGAGGGTTCAATCGATTTTCTATAATTAGTTAATTTTTAATCACTTTTTTTTTGTCTTTAGCGTTGTTGTGGCTGCATCGTCTTCCCCTATAGAGTTTCTTTGGTTCCTCGTGTTGCACCACCTTCCTTCGTGATGCCCCTGAAACCAACCGGCCACAGAGACACAGAGAGAGAGAGAGATCTGAAGGGAGCAAGAGATGGAGAGAGAGGAGGGAGAGGAGGGAGAGAGAGAGAGAGAGAAAGAGAGATCTGAAGGGAGCAAGAGAGAGAGTGAAGAACCTTGATGTTGGGTCTGAGATGATTGTGCCACCTCTCTCTGCATTGCTTCCCCACCCTGCCGTTGAGGTTCTGCGCTATGAAGGACCACCTCCTCACGCCGTGCTCCTCCACCAGCCTCGCCAGCGTCCTTCCTCACAAAACCCAACACCAATTCAGAGAGTGTCACAGGAGAGAGAATGAGAGAGAACTAGAGAGAGAGGAAAAGAGACATAGAACTACAGAGAGAGAGAGAGAGAGAGAGAGAGAGGGGGGGGGGGGGCTGACCTGTCTTCTTCTACGGACCACTGGCCCTTCACAACGTGGGGCCTCTTGCGGCTCTTCCCGCCAGCCTTCCTGTTCGCTGAGCGTTTCTGGGTCTCGCCGCCAGCGGTAAGGTCGTGTGCTACACCGTTAAGCGGCGGGAAGGCGGCCAGAGGCACGGCATCAAGGACCGCCTGCGGCGGCGGGGTCTGTACCACGCCGGCGGTCAGATGTCCGGGCAGAGCCACGTCGCCGCCGCCGTCGTAGAAGGCGTTCCCGGCGAAGAGGCCGTGGAAATCCTCCGAGAACGTAGTCCCCAGGCTCTGGAAATCCTCGCTTCCGCAGTAGTAGCAGTACTCATCCAGGAGGGAACAAATCTCCTCTCCAGGCTCGACCTTGGATACGGGACAGTCCATGAAGATCACCGCCACAGCGAGATAGAGATAGAGAGAGAGAAAGAGATAGAGAAGGGGGGGGAGGGGCGTAGAGAGACGGGTGGAGGTGGAGGTGGAGGTGGAGGAGGAGACATCATGTTAAGGGGAGAGGGGACGAAACGGAAGAAGGGGACGATCATCAGGGAGGGTAGTAATTAAGGAGGGCAGTTAAAAGAAGGGTAACGGAAGGAATTAACAGTCTTTATCAGAATGTTTATGCCTCCTGAGCTTGGTTATTGCCCTGCCCGGCATTGAACCAGAGGGAACACTTGTTTCCTTGCCTCCTCGTCTTAGAACTCCGACAGGAGGAGCATTTAAGGGGGGCGCCATTAACCTTAACCTTTCTCCATCTCTCTCTCTCTCTCTCTCCTCATTTCTTTCTCTCTCCCCCTTGCTCTCTCACCTTAACCTATCTCTCTTTCTCTAACATTGACCTCTTCTCTCTCTACCCTCAACCTCTCCCTATCTACTCTTAAGCCCTCTCGCTCTCTCTCTCTATTTATCTCCCCTCGCTCTCTCTTCATTTCTCCCCCCCTCCCCTCTCTCTCTCTCTCTCTCCCCATGTCTCCCTCTTTTTCCGCCTCTCTCTTACCTTAACCTTAACCTCTTCTCCCTCTACCATCAACCTCTCTCTATTTATCTCCCCCTCGCTCTCTTCATTTCTCCCCCTCCCCCCCCCCTCTTTCTCTCTCCCCATGTCTCCCTCTTTTTCCGCCTCTCTCTCACCTTAACCTTAACCTTGTCTCTCTCTACCCTCAACCTCTCTCTATCTACTCTTAACCCCTCTCACTCTCTCTCTCAATTTATCTCCCCCTCGATCTCTCGCCTTAACCTCTCCCTCCGTCTCGCTCTCTCTCCCCATGTCTCCCTCTTTTTCCGCCTCTCTCTCACCTTAACCTTAACCTTAACCTCTTCTCTCTCTACCCTCAACCTCTCTATCTACTCTTAACCCCTCTGGTTCTTTCCATCTATTTATCTTCCCCTCCCTCTCGCTTCATTCCACCCCCCCCCTCTCCCTCGCTCTCTCCCCTTAACCTCTCTCTCCGTCTCGCTCTCTCTCTCTCCCCATGTCTCCCTCTTTTGCCGCCTCGCTCTCTCGCGATAACCTCTCTCTCTCTCTCCCCTCATGTCTCCCTCTTTTACCGCCTCGCTCTCTCGTGATAACCTCTCTCCCCACCTCCCTATCTCTTATCTCCGCCTCGATCTGCCGTCGCTCTCTTACCTTTACTTCTCTGTCAACCTCTCCCTCCATCTCTCTCTCTCTCTCTAACCCTCACTCTTTCACGTTAGCCTTTCTCTCTCTAACTTAACCACTCTCTCTCTCCATTTCTGTCTCTCACCTCTCGCTCTCTTACCTTAACCTTAAACTCATACTGTAGGAGTCAGACGAGAGAGAGAGAGAGAGAAAGAGAGAGAAAACCAGAGTGCAAGGGGAGAGAGAGGGAGGATGTAGATGCTCATCAAATCAAAATCTAGAGGGCGGGAGAAACGGAGAGCAAGCTGTGATTTCAGGTGTTCAAAAATAAATATAGCCACGAGTTTAGACGCCAAGAACTTGGGGTGATACGAGGCGTCCTACGACATGGATGAGACTCCGCAATCTCTTGTTTCGTGAAGATTTTGATCGTTAGAGATGTCTCGATGGTTGAGATCCGAGAGCCTCTGCGGGGACCTTCATCTTTCTGCTTCCTAGATTATTTTTGTCCATTTAATGGAAGAGGAACCAAAAATGTTGTAATGAGTTCATCTGATCATCGAGTTAGAAACATAGATAAAGAAACTCAATTCAGTAGGATGATAGTCTGCCCCGTTTAAGTGATCGATCAAAGTTTTTAGATTGAACAAATACGATTTTAGACGAATCAAAGAAAGGGTCCATTTCAGAGAGATGGTCTCGGACAAGAACGGTAAGCTCCGAAGATCTACGGAGGAGTTGCATCGTTTTTCAAGATCATTTGATCCACTCGTGAGATTACTGCATTTCACTTGGACAGAGTTGGTAAAGGTGTGATCTGATCTGATCATGAGCAAAAACTATGCCTACTAGTGGAGAAGAACTCCACAATCCACCCAGATTATCACATCATCTTAAGAAATTGATGGTCTACTTCCAACCAAAGAAGATTTTTCCATCAGACAGAAATCCAATCAAACGCGATGAGAAACCATGAAACAGTTTGAGACTCAATGGACGTAAATGCACTTCAAAAGCACAAGAGACGTATAAAAAATTTGGCTTGCTGCAAGTTCATGCTTCAAATAAGTCCCAGAGACAAAAAATAGAAGCAAATCCAACAAGATAATGAGATGAATGTTATATTTAATTTCAATTTATTAAGATGCATCAATTTGGTTAAATTCACTCCAACACATTCATTGAATAGAAATAATTAGATATATAACCATAACCCCTCCAACATATTTTCATTTAATAAAAAGAATTAGGCATAAACCTTTCCTTATCCCTCCAACACATCTTCATAAAACACATCTCTTAAGATCACTCTCTCTTGCCCCCTAAGTCATTAAAACATCTATCATGTAATAACCCAATCACTAGTTCATTTTAATTTACAAGATGTTTCAAACATTGCTTGATGGTAAGGTGTGAACAAACTATAAGTATAAATTGTTATCATCAAGAAGATGGCAAGTTATCAAATCACACTTCAAATGACAAAGAGTTTGGTGTGAGAAATGGCTTTTGGGAGTACAAAGTGGGCATGGTGTGATCAATGGTGTGAGCAAAGCTTCTTTGGGATGCCCTTGTTATTCTTAACGTCATCAAGTACAACTCTCAATATGGCACATTAACACCTAATTAACATAGGAAAAGAAACCTAATTAATACATAATTAACATAGGAAAAGAGACCCTTTTGATGTTGTCTATGATAAAGACATTATTGTCAATGTTAAGCTTATTTTTTTTTATTTCTTCTCACTATTCAATGCAATGATCCATATCATGGTAAATAAATAGGCTTATTATATCTTGATTTTAAATTAAAATAGCTATCTTCTTAGTTTTCTCTAGCTTTTTAAAAGGAAGTTAATTACATTTTTGTCTTAAAGTACATAACTCATAGTGATGACATTGCACATCATTAATACTTCACCCTCCTTATGCACCTTGATGAACATAATCTTCTTGGAGTACAGCAATAGGTTTGTAATTTCTTATTTAGACAATGTCTTTTAGATCATGTAACAGACCTTCATGAGATGCTATAGGAGTTGGGAGAGAATGAGATGTACCTCAACCCTACTAGAAAAAAAATTCTTTCTCAAACAAATCATGAGATGTGATAGTATGTAGAAAGACTAAAGAAAAGTCTTCACCATTGAGTAGTGGCCAATTCCCAACCAAATACTGAGGTTCTAGTTGTTCTTGGATTTTACCAACCACTATTGAATGTTTGTGTATTATTCCTATTAGCTTGTGACCTTGCTGACTAATCTTCTGAAAAAAAAAACATGTCATGGGTGTAATTTGGGAGTTGCTAAAACACTTTTGCACACTCAAGTAGATAGTTAAGCATGAGTTAACCTTATAATTATTTGTTCATTTGAAATATTTACTAATACTTTAGACTTCACCATTCATGGTGTGTTGATGTAAAAAGACATTTAATGACATTTGAGGCCCAAAAACTGATTTATATGAAAAGGCATTATTCTATGCATAAAAAATAAATGACAATAATTGTATATTACCTTCGAGTATGACAGCTTTACTTTATTGACAACCACTTTGTTGTATACATACACAATGTAACAACAAATAGCTCTGAAATGTAATATAAGCTCACATCAAAGTAGTCTAGATGACATGATTTTCTAGCATAATATGAATTCTTCCTCAATATTGTATGTTAATATTGTGGTAGGCATCCTCAAACGTAAAGAACATGAAGCAAGATTTGTAATAATTTTGATAACTAGTGGCATTATACTAAAAGAAATTCAAGATATGTTGAACACAAATGTAGAAGGGATAAACTTGTTCAATATATAAGCGAGCATGCGATGTACCACTTATGGGTAGACTACAAGGTTCTTTATGCACATGGACACTAGTTGTACATGTTGCATGCATACATGCTACATTCTTACCTTCTTCAAGGGGTATATGATATACTATATGTTGAAAACCCTAAATTAAACACATGTTTGTGTTATCATTGAGTTATTTTTAGTCATGTATGACATAAAAAATTGAAGTATATATTCAATCTTGTTTGATTTTCAATAGGATAAGATCAAGCATGTCAAGGTAATAGAGACACCTTTGAGCCACTGCCCATTCTAGTCTATCTTGAAAGTCCATATCTATAGATTCCATGTCAAAGTACCAAAAAAGAACTTGGTCAATGCAATCTTCATTATGGTTGACCAGTTCTCTAAATATATAGTGTTCATATTAACATGTATGAATTGAGATAATTAAATTTTAATAATTCATAAATCAAATTTTAGAGACATTTTAAACAAAAAAAATACTAGATTCAGGTCATCTCCACTTTAATGAAAGAAAAAGTATATCTCTAAAAATAAAAATGAATGATTTCTCTTGTTACCAAGTTGTCACAATTGCATTCCCTTGTCTCTATTGACTTTTGAAATAGAAGAGATGTCCTTATTGATATCTTAATTACCACTAGATCACCTCTAATTCATGTTGATTTAAGGATTCCTGAAGAACAACCTAGAAAAACCAAAAAAAATAATAAAATTGAGAGAAAATCTAGTAGCAAATTTTCATCTCACAATGAAATGATGAAGTAGATGATCTATAATTCAATAAAATCTAAAAACAATAGAAAAAAATATTATAAAATAAAAATATGATTGATGCTACAAATGTACCACCTCACATAATAGAATCAATCAATAACTAGAAATGAAATACAAAAATTGAAAAATCATAGCAAAACAAGTGAGAAAATACAAGGAAACCACATTGCAACTCCATCAACCATT